CCCATGGACTTGGATGCCCAATTTGATTATTTAGATCGCCAGATACGTTTGGCCAACCTCGTGGGGTGGCAGTTATTTTCTGTTGCGATGCCGGCGACAGATCCAATGCCCCTACCGTCTGGTTGTAATTGGGGGGGGGGGGCGCAGCATTTGCTTGCCTAGGAGAGCAAGCCTGGAAGTAGTTAAACGTCCCCGTTTCGGCGAAAGGGAGAGACTCCGAGAAGACGACCAGCAACAGCAACAGCAACAGCAACAGCAGCAACAAGAGATGTTCATCGTCACCACCAACGTCCCATGATTTCAACCTCACGTGTCGTTCTCTCGTTTGGTAATGTCCCACGTCCCGTGCGACTCGACGTTTTCTATCTTTAGCGTGATCTCAACCTTTTTTTTTACTTGAATTTCGGGGTCTTAGCCGTGACTTGACGTTTTGGTAAATTGTCGGGAGCCTCCTTTGTAAGCAATTTTTCTTTGTAATTTTTGGGAATTTGGGAAAAAAAGCCCTGTTGAAATTTTTTTTAATGTGATTGCGAAATGCGATTGGGGTGTAAACCTTGGAGTCGATACGACGAAACATTGTTTACAACCAAATCCCAAACCTTTAATGAGAAATGCAATTGCCATTTCAACTCGATTGAGTCAGTGAAAATGCGATTAAGAATCGTATTGCATTCCCTTTTAAGATTTTAGAGAGTGCTTTTCCCTTCGAATTTTGTACTTTTCTCCTTAGGAATGTTTCGATGGTCCTTTAACGTGTAGATTTCGTGAATGAAAATGCCTGAAATAGACTCTCGTTAAATTTCGAAACCATTCGATAAGTAGTCTTTTTAGTGAGTCAAAATGTTAAATCGATGCGCCACTTGACTATATTCAAGCATTTAGCATTTCCTTTCTTATTCATTTGCCTCTATATTAATTTGCAAAATTGAAATTTGGACGGGAGAAATTTGACTTGCATCTCTCTCACAATTGTGTTATTTGCAGGTTGTCAATATACGGACCGCGATTAGTCTCCGGTCGATGATAGATACATATACAATGCGATTCTATCATGAGGTGGTCGTTTATTGATAGTTCAAAGATTGCGACCTTTTTCCCAATACAAAATTAATTACACAAATGGTAATATTGGTCTTTCAACTTTAGTCTAACATGCAATGTCGTTTTTGAACTTTTAATTTGTCAAATGTAATCCATGAACTTTCAATAAATATTCAGTCTAATCCCTAAACTATATGAAAACGTTCAATATCATTCTTATGCTAATTTTTAAGTTAACAAAATTTGTTGGTTTGGCTTCCAATTTGCTAAGTTTGAAGGGTGGACAAAAAAAATAGCGTTACACATTGATTTTCCATATAAGATATTAAACTCAAATTAATATATAATAATACACATCATCGAATAACGTGAAGAATCATTTTTTCAAATAGAACAATTTAAACAAATTAAAATGATTATTATATTATAATTTGAGTTGGATATCTTACCTAAAAATAGGGGTGTCAAACGGGTGGATTGGGTAAAATATGGTCCTACCTATATTGATCCATTTAACCCGTTTTGACCCATATTCATGTATTGTAAATCTAATGACCCATAGCCAACTCATAACTGACCCAACCCGTATTCTAAAAGACTTTAAAATCCAATTTAGGAAAAAACTTGTTTCTTATAATATTTATATTGCTAAAATGCTTCAATGCAATATAAAATAAGTGAACAATTTTTATAATTTTTAAAAATAAATTTTAAATATTTATATATATATTTTTTCCTTTTCTTTTTCCTTCTTCTTCGGCCGGCCGCCAGTGACCGGCCGTAGGCAAGCTCGTCCAAATCGGCGAGCTTGAGCTCGTTGGACGAGCCTCGAGCTCGCCAAATTCTAGTGAGCTCGGGCGAGCTCGAAGCTCGCCTATGGCCGGTCGCCGGGAGAAGAAGGAAACAGAGAAAAAGAAGGAAAAAAAAGAAAAATAAAAGAAAATTAAAAATAATTTAAAAAATGCGATTTTTTTAAATATAAAAAATAAAAAAAATAATTTTTTTAAATGACACTTAAGCTATTTAGCCTACAAGGTTACAAGTTAATAACTTAAATGGGTCAAACTCATATTCAACCCATATTTGACCTATACAAATTCGGGCTTTAATGTTACAAACCCATTTTGACATGTTTTCAAAATTTCAAGTGACCCATATCCAACTTGAGCTCACTAAAAATGAGTTAATAAATGGGTTTCTGATCCATATTGCCTCCTCTATCTAAAGAATCCATGTGTAATGGTTTTTCTTTTGCGCATCCTTCACTGGATTAGGAGCCAAATTAACAAAGTACGTTAACTCGAATTAATGAAACGATAACACTGGACATTTTCATGTAGTTTCAGGGATTAAGTTGAACATGCACTAGAAATTTAGAAAGCACATTAGATGAATTAAAAATTTAGGGGCGACATTCCACGTCATTCGCGTCATTTTCCCTCTTTCCAACTTTCGTTCCTTTTCAACTCATTAGAATCATTTTATTTGAACATTTCCATGCAGTGAATAAACCCAGGGTCATCAAAAACAACTCCCGTTAAATACGGGAAAAACCACCAAAACCCTAAACTTTACCATCGTGACATTCGCGTCATTGTCCCTCTTTCCAACTTTCGTTCCTTTTCAACTCATTAGAATCATTTTATTTGAACATTTCCATGCGGTGAATAAACCCGGGGTCATAAAAAAACAACTCCCGTTAAATACGGGAAAAAAAAAAAAGAATCAGTTTATTTCCCTTTCGTTTTTCTTTTTTTGGGGGTCAACTGCGGCGGCTGACCAAAGAAAAAGGTTTCCAATTTCTCTCTTAGAAAAATCCCTTCATTTACTTATTTATTTATTTCCTCTTTTCTTATTCGCACGACAGGATTTTTCTCTCCCCGTCTCGCCCTCTTTTTCTCAACGCACCACGTCACAAACTCCCGACTCGCTAATATTTTCCTCAATAATCAATCAATTAATTATTATCGAAAATAGTTATCTCTTTTTTTTTTCCCTTTTTTTTTACGTCTTTAATCCTCGTTGGTTGCTCCGTGCCTTTTTTTCGGCCCCCTGTGATTTGACCTCACAATTAACCGGAATTGACCACTGCCCTCGGGTCCGCGACCCCGTAGCACGCTTCTGATTGGCGGACGCCAGACCAGCCCCAATTCCATTCCAGTTTAATCCCGACCCCCTTCGCGCCCGCTTCCCCCCACCGGCGCACCGGCCCAGCCGGTCACCTCGGGCCCGCTCTGGCCCCCCCACCTAACCGGTCTCCCCCCCCCTCCCTCCGCGTACTTTTCCACCTCCCCCACCGGTCCCCCCAAGCGTGGGGAAAACTTAATCACGTGCTCCCGATTGTACGTGAATCCCACTCGAGTTTCGACCAAAATAATTAAAAAAAAGGGGGCTAATGGCACGAAATACCCAAAACTAGTGCGATAAATTTTACCCTCTTTCAATTTTTGTTAAACTATATTAATATCACGAAAAATTATAAACTGATAAAACTCTTGACTAATACATCCGTCAATTATCACGTCTCATCCAACTCAGCAACTCGACGGTAAAATTTTCAATGGATGATAAATTTATTATGAATGTATCGGTTTGGGATTTATCGCAAATGTATCGGTTTGAGATTTTTTTGTGGTATTAGACCCCGGAAAAATTCACTTGAGTTCAGACGTTAGATTGTACGATGTAATATTATTATCGGTAACTCGGATGTATGATTGTAGAGGCTCTCCCGTTTGAGATCTACGAAACGCCATACAAAGGTACTAAATTGACGTAATATTATTATGTAATGCTATTATAATAAATGAATATGATTATAAATTAACTTTCACTCAAGATGAACGGAAACGTGTCAAGCATGTTCGATTTCGAATTAATTATGCTGTGCCGATTTCGGTCAATCAAGAGCTAGTTCGGGCAATTTAGATGGCTCTCGGTATTTGTACTCAATACACGACGAGGTAATTTAGATTAGATCGAGCCCAATTTTGTTAGCCCGGAATTTGATCTTTGTTGTTTTCATCGTCAAATTCGAGTCGTACTTCCGTGTCGTGGCCACTGTGCTCCCGGATCGTCGACCTGCCCCGAGTCGCCGGTACTTTCTGATTAAATGCGTCGAGGGGCCAGGCCTCCGTGCTGACGTGTCGCTGACTGAGTGGATAAGGCGGGGGGCTCCTCGCCAGAGCCCCCGCGAGGACAATCTCGTAAAATGCGAGGCGATTCAACGCCGGGGCTCCACGCGGCGCGGCCGCGTCCCGTGAGCTCGACCGCAGGGGATCGCGCCCCCCACCCCCCGACCCCGGAATTTAACCTTCATGTGGGGTGAATTTGGGTTGAATTTCCACGTAATTTGACCTAAAGACGGACCGGGGGGGGCGGTGGTGGTGTGGGGCCGGGAGGGTTAAAATAATAATCTCCCCAAACTTTACCCAAACGACACCGTCCCGATTCACCCTCGCCCAATCGGATCTCGCCACCTCACCGATGGCATAGATCCCCGCGGCTCGCATTTACGGTTTCGCCCCCGGATCCGTACGCGATGACGCATCTGCCCTGGCGCCGAGGATCGGAATTAAATTAATTCGCGGGGGATTGATTGTCAGTGAGTGCGCCTGCTTCTCCTTTCTTTAAATTTTTTTTTTTTTCCCTTCAGATTCTATTGGATGGGCGATTTTATCTAACCCCGTGAAAATTTTTTTTTGTCTTTAAAAAATTTTAAAAAATAAATGACAAAAAGTAGGTCAATAATTTTCTTTCTCTTTTCTTTCATTTTTTTTTCCCACCTTTCGCAATCCCTTTTTTTTTTTTGTGGGGCCTAAACCTTTTTTTTTTTTTTTGGGTGCCCTGCGCATGATGCTGCCCTTGAAGAAGGAGAGGACTTGGGAAATAGAGACGGAAGACGAAGAACGAACAACAAAAGAGGGTCTGTGTCTCCGTTCCTACTCTCTCTCCTCTCTCTTCTCTCTCTCTCCTTCTCCTTCTCCTTCTCTCTCTCTCTCTCTCTCTCTCTCTCTGCTGGTTCTAGCAAAGTCTCTTCCTTGAGAGACAGGGTGGTGTCTTTCTCTCTCTTCATTGCGAGCTTCTGAGAAAGTTTCATTCTTTTTTCGTTTTTTCTTCGTTTTGCCCTTCTGGGTATCACTGTGAAGCTCGTTTTTTCTTTTCTTTTTCATCTGGGCAATCTTCCCCTCTCTCTCCGTGCTTGCTTGCTTTGGACTGAGGGGGCCAGTAGTAGCTTTAGATCTGCAAGGTCTCTTCTTACTCAGTGAGCTGGGCTTAGTTCAATCGGTAAGATTCGCTTCGATCGCTCTGTGGTTTTCCCCTCTGCAAGATCTCTTTGCTGTTTTTGGGTGTTGTCGTTGGTGGGTCGCATGCAAAGGGTATCTGGTTTTTTGGCTCCATCTTTTGGTTCTTTGAGATGGGTCTTGGTGGGTATTGGGTGGAGGGTTTTTCTTGTTCTGCTGCGAATCGAACTCTGATCTGTGCCGCGTTGGTTCTGAGAAACGCTGTGTCTGTCTCCGTCCTTTGCCTGTTCTTTGCGGGTTCTTGTTTTTCCGCTTCGACTGTTCTTTTTTCCTCTGCAAATAGGGATTTTGCTGTGGATTTGCGTGAGATCCTCATTGTTGTTTCGCTTCCTCTGGTTTTACCTTATCTTGTCATGTGTGATGAGTGTTAATTTTGTTGTTGTGCTGACTGGTACACAATGAAGATGGGTTCTTTATCTTTTTTTGGGGGGGCCAATATTGAAAATAGGTTTAGCCAGATGTTCAACTGCGGGTCGAGTTCTTGTTTCAAACAAAGATTGGTTCTCTTTTTTTTGAAACGTGATTATCTGTTTAGTTCACGAATCTGTGGAAGTGAAGTGATACCCGTACTCTGGAAACATTGGAGAAGGTGACGATTGTCGCAACCGGAATATCGATTTAGGCTTCTAGTTCTGTCTTATTGATGAGAAAATGAAGAAAAATTCGGCAAATGCTTAGTTCGATTGTTGACTTTGGCCCCTTTTGATGGCCCTGGCGATTGAAGCGCCTGCTGATGAACATTCTTATTAGGAGGTTTTTTTTTTAGTGTTTACTTTTCATAGATGGTTACTGATGTCACTCGATTAAGTTTCTTAGGCGGCTAACCATATTGCCTCATGTAATATGGAGTAAGTCTGTATTCTAGGGCTTCTTTATTAGATTGATGTTGCTGAAAGTGCCAATTTTTTTTTTCGTTACTCTTCAACAGTTCAGCCTCTTAGGTCTGAAATCTTCTTTTGTCATCAAATCAGTGAGTCTTTTTGTCAATTTTTTTTCTTGCTCGAGTCATTCGCCTTCTATGCTGATGTTGTTAATGCCTCGAGCTTTGGTCTTGGTATTCTTATTCACTATTCACGCTGACGGGAAAAGCTTATAATTTCCTCTTTACTTTCAGATGAAGGAAGCATGCGCAAGTGATTGGTGTGGGTAATATTCTGCATTCGATCTGCACTGAAGTGTCCCCTTTTTCGTGAGGAAGAAGATCCTGTTTTGAGCCATGAGTCAACTGACCATTCAGACTGAGGACACTTTTGCCAGCTTGCTTGAGCTTGCTGCCAACAATGACGCAGAATTTTTCAGACGATGCGTGGAACGCGAACCTTCGAGCATAGATGAGATTGGGTACTGGTATGGTCGTCAAAAGGGTTTGAAGCAGATGGTCAATATGCAAAGAACTCCTCTTATGGTGGCTGCTACATATGGTAGTGTTGATGTAATGAAACTCATTCTTTCCCTATCTGATGCTGATGTGAATCGAACCTGTGGCACAGACAAAAGCACAGCCCTTCACTGTGCTGCCTCAGGTGGCGCTGCGAATGCTGTGGATGCCGTGAAGCTGCTCCTGGCAGCTGGTGCTGACCCAAGTTTAGCAGATGCTAACGGTCACCGGCCTGTGGATGTTATTGTAGTTCCTCCAAAGCTCCTTTCAATTAAGTTTACTCTTGAAGAGCTCTTGTCCACCGACGGATCTGTAAGCGAACGCAATCTGAGAGTGTCCGTAGCCTCTTCCAATTCAACCTCTCCCCCACTTTCATCTTCCCCAGAAAATGGTTCCCCAGCATCTGCTAATTGTTCTTCACCCAAGAACCCAAAGTTAAGTGATATTCCTGTTGCTTATGCATCAGAAAAGAAGGAATACCCTGTGGATCCATCTCTTCCAGATATCAAGAATAGCATTTACTCAACGGATGAATTCCGAATGTATTCTTTTAAAGTGCGCCCTTGTTCACGAGCTTACTCCCATGATTGGACGGAGTGTCCCTTTGTTCATCCGGGGGAGAATGCCCGTAGAAGGGATCCAAGGAAGTTCCACTACAGCTGTGTCCCTTGCCCCGATTTCCGGAAGGGTGCTTGTAGACGTGGAGATATGTGTGAGTATGCTCATGGTGTTTTTGAGTGCTGGCTCCATCCTGCCCAGTATCGGACTCGGTTATGCAAGGATGGTACGAGTTGTGCTCGGAGAGTGTGCTTCTTTGCCCACACGGAGCAAGAGATGCGTCCATTGTATGTCTCCACTGGTTCTGCTGTTCCATCTCCTCGCTCAAGCACCTCTGGAGCTGCTGCCATGGATTTTGCTGCAGCCATGAGCCTCTTACCTGGTTCTCCATCGTCAGTATCCATCATGTCCCCTTCACCCTTCACTCCTCCCATGTCTCCATCTGCTAATGGTATTTCACACCCATCTGTACCCTGGCCCCAGCAAAATGTCCCAACTTTGCATCTTCCCGGAAGCAATCTTCAGTCCAGCCGCTTGAGATCTTCTCTTAACGCGAGAGATATTCCTCAGGAGGATTTTGACTTGCTGTCAGATTATGATGTGCAACAGCAGCAGCTCCTAAATGAGTTATCCGTCCTTTCACAACAATCGATGGGTGCTAATTCATTGAACCGTTCTGGTCGGCTGAAGACTCTGACCCCCTCAAACCTTGATGAGCTCTTCTCTGCCGAGAGCTCATCCCCTCGCTACGCGGATCAAGCACTGGCTTCTGCGGTTTTTTCGCCAACGCACAAATCTGCAGTCATCAATCAGTTTCAGCAGCAGCAGCAGAGCATGTTATCACCCATCAACACAACCTTTTCTCCTAAAAGTGTTGACCATCCTTTGTTGCAAGCGTCTTTCGGTGTTCAATCCGGGCGAATGTCCCCTCGGAACATGGATCCCATCTCTCCTATGAGTTCTCGTGTGTCAATGTTAGCTCAACGAGAGAAGCAGCAGCAGCAATTACGCAGCCTAAGCTCTCGCGAGCTTGGTTCCAACTCAGCTGCCATTGTGGGTTCCCCCGTGGGTTCTTGGTCGAAATGGGGGACTACAAATGGGAAACCTGACTGGGCTGTTAGTGCAGATGAACTAGGTAAGCTTCGCAGGTCCAATTCATTCGAGCTTGGGAACAATGGCGAGGAGCCCGATCTTTCATGGGTTCAATCACTCGTTAAAGAATCTCCGACCGATATGAAAGAAAAGCTTTCATCGACTCTCTCTGGTGGTCCAGCCCCCGCTTCATCTGGTGAGGTTCCGAGCATCAGCTCGCAGATGGAATCAGTTGATCACGAAGTGTTGGGAGCATGGCTCCAACAAATGCAGCTTGATCCGCTCGTGGCGCAGCAAAACTAGGTTGTTTTTTTTCCTACATGGCCTTGAGGAACTAGACAGCGGAAAGGTTTTTTGGTAAATACTATGTTTTTTCTGGAAATTTTTGATGGTGGTGGTGGGTCTGGAAGAAGATAACAAGGCAGGGAAGGGATAAGTGAAGTCACTGGAGAAAGGGAATTCATTTTTAACCATTTTATCATTCTATTACAACAGAAAGTAGGGAAAAAATAGGAAGACCCTCTGGGTTATGAAGAGAAATTAAACCCAGGTTTGGTGTTCTCCTTTCTAATATTTCCAATTTTAGGTCCATATTACTGTCATTTCCTTTTTGCCTTCTTATCATATTTCATCAAAATGGAACTGGGGGACTAATGTTTGTTCCATTCTTTTGCTCTTTTGATTCATTTGCGCCCTTGACGAAGAAGATCAAAAGAGAGTTTATGAACATTTTTCTTTTGAGGATTTTTTTTTTCAATCTTTGTGAGGATGAAACTTAGAGGGGATATGATATGTCTCTGGTGTTGTAGTATGAAACCAATAACTGAGTTCACCAGTCACTGCTGGTAGTAGAGAAAGTGGAGACGCTATGATCGTTGATGTAACAATCCATCAAACATTTTAATACCTTTATTTTTTGTTTCCTCATGTAATCTCTTTTGTGATTGCCCTCTCTCTCTCTCTGTTCTTTAAACCTTGAAAGCTTCTTCGAAGTGTCTTGCTTGTCGATCAGTTAATTATTCAAAAGGGTCATGGAAAGCTGTGCTGTCGTGGATTCCCATTTTACCCTAAAGGATCACACTTTGGGACTGGTATGTGGATGGGTGAAGCTCTATCTTTTCGTGGTGAAACCAACCATTAATGAATTCTTTAATGAGAACACCAGCGGTTTGCACTTATCAAGAACGCTTTCAAAGAGATTGGTGGATCTTGCCTCAGTGGAAGATGAGGTTGGAGGCAAACATTATCGTCCTTGATTCGTTCCCCTCTCCACGTGGGTATCAAATTGGATGTGACAAGTTACAAGGAATGTTAAATTGTAAGTGGCCCTTAGGAAAAATTTGCTCTGATGGGGAATGCAGTTGGCACTCTTTCTGGTATCTAAGGGAAAAAGTGGGCACGCCATCTGCATTTTGAGATTGCTTATCCTGTTGGGATATGGGCCAATACATCGCCCATCATTCCTGATTAGATATAAGGGTCGCACATGATTACCACTATCACTTTTCTGCGTCGATGCCAAGATCGGCTGAGAAAGCAGTTTTCCCTCGAAAAGTCATGGCTTTTGCACTCTTTTTTTTTTTTTCTTTCTTTTCCTTTGGCAAATCTGGGGAGAATTAAACAAAGACAGAATAGACAGACAAGGATAAAAGGTTGAGAGGAGTAGGTGTGCGCGTCGAGAGGAAATTCGAGTCACTCATTTTATTGGGGGGTGACACCTTTCGGTGCCTTTAGGTTCTCCAATCTTCTGACAAAGAGGACAGAAAGAGAGAGAATGATCTATGGAAATATCAGAGAGGGAGAGAAAACGACCACCACAACTCGAAAGAGAATGGATGGGATTGCGATCTCATCTGTCCTTTTATTTTTTCTTCCGTGGGATGGCGAATGTGAATATTTTCATGGCATCAGATTCATAGGACAAAGTTCCTAGTCCTAGGTCTTGATGTTGGATTTCTAGGTTAGGTTTGTCCCCATGCATCTTGTTTGGTAGCTAAAAAGCATCGATTTGGACGCCCACAGCAACATGGCGTAGTGGTGGAAACAAGTCTTCCCAATTTCACATTTTGGCTTTTGGGGGGTTTTACTTCGTTCAACATGGCATAGCGGTGGAAACATTCTTTCTAATCAAGGGGCGTGTATGTGCACGGTTCACAAGCGTTCTCATTTAAGCTTACTCGCAAAAACTGTTTCTGCTCTACGATTATCAAATCTAGGATACAGCAAGTGACCATGATTTGGTTGTTCAGACGTTTGAATGGGAAGATAGTATGCCAAACAGGCTGGTTTCGAATGTCCGTTCCTCGCACAATTTTAGTTTATGATTTGCCTCAAAAGAGCACGCATCGAATGATCCAACCTGACCAGCTTATTCTCTAATTATCAGAGGAAAATTGCGCGAGTGCTTCGTAACCTGGAAACATCAAAATTATAACTCTGGTTCTATATAAGTTTTGTCTAGGGTAAAACTCGAACGGTATCAAGATAGGAAGTCCAAACAATTGGTCCTTTGCCAATGATGAGACCAGTGGATATGCGAAATAGAACGACTGATTATACATGGTAAAAAAAGGTCTCCCCCGTCCCTTCTTTTACAAGCTACCGTCTTTTTCAAGTGAAAGACAATTGCAGAACACTTTCTTGCACTTCAAATTGCGGGGAACGATCTAAATACAAGTGTGGAGGTATCACGTCAAGGAAATGATGCAAAGATAGTATCACGTGATGGTGTGCGATTTCTCTGCAATCCAAAGTGTAAGGAAACTATGTTGGAATGCAGAAAACCAAATGACGAATGAAGGTCGAGGCCGCAATTAGTTCTTTAGAAATCCCCAAGGTCCCATCCCAGCACCGATCCTGCATATTTCCGAAAATCGGTGTTTGGTAAGATGAGAATTCTCATTTGTAACTAAAATTATCAGTAATGCGACTAAAGAGACAAAAAATTTAGAGAGCTGAGATGTGTATCTTGTGGCATCTAGAAAGAGATACAAGGCGCAAAGAGCCTTTATAGAAACAGAGCATTACCTTAAGAAACCAGCAAATGTCCTCAAAGTCATATAGATGGTCAAAGCAATCCAAATCCCTATAAAACCGTGAGCTGAGGACAGTGAACACAAACATACAATGCTCACTACAGACACCAGCACCTGCAAGTAAATAAAACAAAAGAAGTTGAGAGAGATAGAGAGAGATGCGCCGTTTAATTTTCTCAAATGTGAAGGTAACAAGTCCCTTTCTTTTTTTTTTTTGGTCAGAAACAAGGCCCTATCTTACCTTACCAAAAAAAAACAAGGCCCTATCTTAAAAACTATGCTTTCGTACATATGCAATTTCATTATGCGTGAAGCAGTGCATAGTATAATCTCTAAAACAACAAGATCTTCAGTCGCATACCATTGAGTAGGCTGCATATGCAAAATCAGACGCGCCATAGTTGATTCCGTCGAAAACAAAGGCTAAAGCGTTGATGGGTTGAGTCACTGCAACAAACTAACAAGCAAAAGTTAAAAAAATTCAGTTCCGGTATAACTCAGTCTCGGATGATTTGGAAGAATTTTCTTGAAATTCAAGGTCAGGAAAGGGAGATACCGGAATCCCCACACTAATAAGATGTAAAACACCAGCGTCTTCCGTAAATAATCTGGAAGCAAACTGTAACACCGCGACAAGGACAACAGAGAGAACTAGCCCCATGGCCAAACCCAACTGCATATCAAAATCAAAGGCGTTTCAGAATATAGAGAGCTGACAAAAGCTACTCCGTCAGGATAAATATTTGAATATACCTGCAATACACGAGAAGCTGTTGACGTGGCCTTCTCGTAATCTCCCCTAGCGAATGCACTTGCAAGGATTGCCTGAGAAAAATAAAACTCATCTCAAACTACTTGAGAAGAAAAATTGGAAATAGTTTCACTAAAAAGAAACTTAAGGCTTTATCGGGGAAAACATAAAATTAGTCCATAAATATTATGGTTTACAGTGCACTCAATCAGATAAGATGTATAGGTCTGAACCGAGGTAGAAGTTATGAGATTCAGGCACCAGCATTATCACCTCAAAATCTCCAGGTAATTATCCTCAAACGCTTATGTGATCCTTCAATTAGATTGTAAATCTCCCAGGGAAACTACAGAGCTCTCTTGCGAGCACTTATTCTAGACTAATAGTAGAACGGTGACAAAGGAGATAGGTAAATTACTGAGCCAACAAATACCCCAACCCTTAAGCTGATGCAGTAGAGCAAGTAGATGGAAGAAAACAGCAGAGACGTGATGAAACACTGAGTCAAGTAACTCTTGTTCAAGGAATTGAATTGAGAAAGCCATCTAAGATAACTTCTTCCACTAAAACATATTCCAATTAGCAACTTTCAAGTTCTAATACTTGCCAAAAATGCATACCTACGTCTGTTGACATTCAATAATGCATCATTCATAAGATGGAGCAACGACATTGAGAATACTAGGGAAGACTGTTTCTGCTGTTTCCAGCATCTACCATTCGATGCTTACGCATCACTTTACATCCTCAAAAAAAAAAAAGATCTTCAGGAAAACTATGCATGTTCACCAAGGCATTTCTTTGATTTCGATGAGACATCACTTGTGACATCTCTTTTACTTGTTTCAACCATTCATTTTCTGTTTTACCGAAACATAAAAACTTAAGCCACTCATTTCTTACTTGTCCAGCAACAGCCAATCCGTCAGCAAGCAAAGAGGTTGCAAGCCAAATTTGCAGGCAAACTTGGAAGGCAGCCATTGATGTTGCTCCATGCCTGGCAGCCAACGATGCTGCCAGGGTAACACAAAATGTTACAGCAATCACTCTCACCAGCAAGAGAAATCCTGGAATAAAATGCACAGAGATAGGTCAGCTTAACCACTAAACCAAAATTTCATCATTTATTACAAACATTTGTGTTCATCCATATACCAGACCCGTCTACTTTCCACAAGATATGAACACGAGACAAGTTTGAGAAGAAATGATGTGAGAAGGAGCAAATCAGGACAAGTCTGATATAATTTCGTCATAATCAGAATTGGAGAAATTAGAAATGCCAATGAGAAAATAATCCGACTTTTTAGTACTTCAATGAATATTAGCTGTCATACAACTAACTCAAACAAATACACAGAGAGAAAATGTGCCACGGCATTCAATGTTATGTTTCTCATCTAATATGCTTCACAAGCAGTGGTTATATCCTTTTTATTTGCATAACTTCAGCAAATCAACTAATCATGTCCTTGGTTATCGTTAAAAGAAAGAAAACCAATCGTGTCCAATCTAGAGAAGAAACTCGTAATACCGCATAGAGAAAATGGCGTTGCCATCTAACAAGAAATCTTACATATTCATTTATCTGTAGATTATCAAATTAAATTTTTTTATTTGTAGCTGCATCATTCATAAGATTAAAAAGAACAATGCCGGGTTTTGACGAAGATGAGGATGGACTTATAAAGAATAGTAAAAACCAAAAAAATACAGGAGCTGACAAGCATATAAAATTTACCGTTCCTCAGGAATCGCTCAAATTTGAGATCTTTAATGCTTGGAGGTAATAGATCAACTTGTGACATTAATTTCCACAGCAGTATAAGTGAAATCAAATACCTAAACATAACAAGTTACCGTGTCAGAGAGTAAAACCACCTAGAAAGTTGCATCATTATCAGGCAAAAGTGAAATCACAGAAGGGGAAAACGTCTATATACATGCAGAACTTACTGAGATATAACATGGGCAATTGCTGCACCGCTGATGCCCATCCGGAGAACAAAAATAAAGAGCGGATCCAAGATGATGTTTGAAGCGTCACCCACCACTAAATGGAAATCAAAAACCCTGAATTAATCTTTAAAACCAATTAAAAACATACCTTTGAATTGCGATAATAACAAAAATTGTATACATTGAACTTCTGCTGATGCAAATGCTATATGATGTGGACAATACATTTTTGTGAGTATCTAAGTTAAGGAACTCAATATCCATGGCCCATTTGCTGGCCCCTCCACAGTGATAGCAATTCCAAAAGGTAATATCTAGTAGGCATACCACACTAGATGTGTCTTCCTAAATATCTGAGAGACAGGAATTTATCTCATGATCTTGATGTGCCCTCTCTGAACCATTTTATCAATCAACATCTTTGCACAAAGGCTGGAGCTGAAAGGTTTTATGAAAGAAGATTTTATTCACCGAAAGTAAAAAATAAAGTACAGCAAAGCCAAGAATTTATTCCTTCAAATAAAGTGAGCTTTGCATCATTGTCTCTATTCGACTCTACGTATAAATATGCAAGTTTTCATCGTGGAGGGAATGCCATGAGCAATGAATTTCCTCATGCTTCAAAACGTTGTAAATGCTGCTTATAACCAAGCTCTTGCTTCTTTAGGGTACTTGGTGAAAGTCAAAACCTCAGAGGTCTGAATGCATACATTGAAGCAATCAGACCCCGTTAAATATATCTATTCAAATGGCTTTTTTGCCAACACGGATAACTAAACACACAAATTGACATGATATAGCAGACATCCAAGCTGCTCTGTAAGAGGCAGAAAGCAAAATCTGCATTCCACAGAAGACTAATGCACTGGCTTCCTTTCTTTGGATGCCCGCACATATCCATAGCAATACTCAATTCTAGTTTGTGCTGGCACCAAAAAGTCCACGTAGATAAAAGAAAGTTTGGCAGAAGGAGCCTTCAGCTCACCTGTCGCATACAAAGGAGTTTTTGTATCCTTAAATCCTCGAAAGATTCCTTGCATGGCCAAAGAGAGAAGAACAGCCGGAGCACCAAGTGACCTCAATGTTAGGTACTTTTGAGCAGGCATTAGCATGGGCGAGTCCTGCACCAAGAGATATCCCTAGTCTCAGTATGATTAGCCACATGTGCCAAGTTGAAGGAAAAAAATTTGCTGGACTAAAAGTTATAATCCAAACCACATGGACTGGAAAAGCAGATCAGTTTTGAAAGTAGAATGACCGAATCTCCTCAACACAAGGCACAATGGGTTTCCTCATAATAAGAGCATAACCGAAAAACACAGAACTCACAGGCTTCACGCCCATGTAGTTTAAGATTGGCTTGGCAGAAAATATGAGGAACAAAGTTTGCACTATCCCAAGTACGCTCCCGATGACCAATGCCGATGAAGCTGATGGAATATGTCTTCTCTTATTGTCAAGATTAGCCATTTTATCGTAACTAGTACTAGTGGATGATGACTCGCTGGTAGAATCTGCCAAAAGAGAAATTCGGTTTTCAAACATGTCAAAAAGTGGCACTGATAACAGACAATCAAAATGACCAAGCAGGAGGAGCCTTAGTTATCAATGTGCTCTCGAGGAATTGAGTAGGCTCATGAGAAAGGCGATCTAAATAGAGCGTACCGCTCTGAGGTAACAGCTCTTCCATTTCAACATCGCTTTCCTTGTCAACGGGAAACCATTTGTCTCCATTTTTGTTTTTCTGTCCTTCAATATGCAATTGCTCTATGGCATCTTCTTCCGCAACGAACGAAGTTGTAATACTGACGAGAGGGAAAATTGTAATCTTCGACACTTGATTAAAAACGGCAATGGCGACTCCTACAGCTGCAAGCTCGGTCGGACCTGCATATATCCCACCCAAGATTTCGAAGAGAGGAAGTCACAATGTGAAATGGCAAAGAGATGTATTTAGTTACTGACAGTCAAATGAAAGAAATATAGAGAAAAACATCGGGTTTTGCAGCACATTAGAGAGAAGGCACATAAACACAACAAGAATGCACATTCTCCACAATGTTTTTTTTTTTTTTTTTGGTAACCCAGGGAACCCCCGCACGGCCGATAGCCGGGGGGTAAACCCTGGGGGCGACACGTGCTAGCCACCACACACGTGCCACCGCTTAAGTCACCCTGCGGCGCCCGGAATTCGAACGCTCAACCTTTTGCGAGAGGAAGCGCGCCCGCTCCAGCGACGCCACCCAGGCGGGTGGTCATTCTCCACAATGTTTTTTTTTTTTTTTTTTTTGGTAACCCAGGGAACCCCCGCACGGCCGACAGCCGGGAGGTAAACCCTGGGGGCGACACGTGCTAGCCACCACACACGTGCACCGATTAAGTCACCCTGCGGCGCCCGGGATTAATTCTCCACAATGTTCAACCTAACATATTTGAAGATTGAAGAAATGAGCACAAGTATATTAAATGCTTTCGAAATTCTTGAGTGTTGAAACATACAAGTGCAAATTGAGAACAAATTTATGAAGTTTCCATCAATTTTTGATACTCCTAAGGCCGTTCCAATGACTTTGAGGACCTACAGAAAATGAATACCAATAACAGACAAAACGCGTCTTCACATTTCATCTTAGCACACTCTTATATACCAACAGTGTGGGTATTTACTCTCAAACAGAATCAACACCAATTACAAAAATATTAGCATGATACACAAAGCACCGTCAGTAAAGGCATGATCTGCATGAATTATCCAGATTCAATCAATAAGATCGTATGTTCCTTAGCACCATCGCATCACTAATTGAAGCGCTCTTTCACTCTTGGGAAGTCAATTGGCAGTGAAGAGATGAAAGCTAGGCCATGAGATGTTACAATAGATATGAAGCAAAAATATGTATCACCCAACAGAGTATCCTGAATAACTAAAAAGAGGAGCTGATGACCGACCTATATGGCCAATGAAGGCCGTATCAATGAGAGAAGCAACGGGATCTGCTGCTAAAGCCAAAGCTGCAGGGAGCGCAATCTGCGCTATCTCAACACCGAGCTGATCTTTCTTGAACACGTTTCTGACCACCGCATTCCAAATGACAATTAGGCATGACATATCGTATACTGGACTGAACGATTTGTCGGATATAAAACTTCTCCAATGACAAGAAATGAATAGTAAAAGCAAAAAGACCAGTGATCTTTGACAGGGGAAGCATACGCTTCTCACACCACTTAACCCTAAATTGCCCCGACAGAATATATGGAAGTGGTCATATTTCATGCACAAAAACTTGCCCTATTTACAGTTGTGGCAACACCTGGCTGCCAGCCCGGATTACAATTCGTGAAACGAAAGTAGCAACATCAGCACAAACAACGGAGGAATTAGATTGGAAACTGGAATTTCACTCAAGGACATCAATAAAAGATGCGTGGGTACCGAAAATGACTACCTCGCGTCCTTGAAGAACATAGACAGAGTCATCTCCCTAACGTTCTTCCTAAGACGGGAAACACCCTCCACCAGGATCGGAGTCTCAAGAAAATGCGGTCTATCCCCACTTCAAGAATCACCGAAAGTCGCCCATCTTTCAGCAAACAAGAACGAGGAAGGGGAAAAAAACCAAGACCCGACTTCAAACCAGAGAAGAGCGCAACGAAACCGGAGAAACAGGAGCCCTCCGTGGAATTAACAGGGTCGAGCCCTTGCCACTTGGGAGTCTTACGGAACCACTGAGGGACGATGAGCCAGGCGATATGCAAAGTTCAAGAAAAGGTTCAACGCGAGAAGGAAGCGAATTGACAAGGAGGGTGGAACTAACCAAGTTGACCGTGGAAACGAAGCGCGAGCGAGCCTCCCCCAGATGACGACGCCCAGAAAGGCCCGCGAAAGCGGCATTACACCGGCGGTCTGAATGACGATTACAGTAAATAATAGCCAAGCGTGCGATGACGGTCAAATCTTTCGTTTCGTGGTCGCAGAAGATGAGAAAGAAGCGTCGAAAAGATTGCCGCGGGAAAAATCCGAAATGAACCGTGCGGCCATGCCCAGTTGCCAAAGTACCATGCATCACCCGCGTCTCTCGCCCTGGCGCAACGGATTGTTACGTGATCTTAACTTAGCTTAAACCGCAAGGCACATGTCCGCGGCGTCAAGACAAAGTAATTTCCAAAGGATTTGAGGATCGATCAGTTGATCGAAGTAACCAAAGCTAGATAGAGAGATTCAAATACAACTATATCGTTATTCAAAACAACACATTGTTTTGTGTTAGCTGTGAAAATTTTCAATTTATGATGGTACGATAAAACCGTATATAGCTTTTTTATAGCAAGTATGATATAATAAAATGGAATTCTACGGGTTCGGTCTGAGACATGACAGAACGTTAAAAAATTCTTAATTTATGACGATACGGCGTCGATAATAGTCTAATTTCAATTGGGCCACAACCAAATCTTCCCCGGGCGAATTCCTAGTTTGTCCAGCTCATGGCTCCATGCACTCGGCCCAGAAGACAAGGGAAGGAACTACTTCTATTATCCAACGGTTCTTCTCGAATCCCGATTGACCAAGGTGACGACGTGCGAAATATTGTGCACCAGATCGATTTTACGAAACGAAGGCGATAATGAAACTATACTTGAACGAGGATTTCTTTCCTTTTACTATGAGAAAAGGCTCTCAATTCCATTCGAGATGTAACCTAATTCGGACCCGTTGTGAAACCGAATTTGACTTCTATCGCAGAAGCATTTTCCTTACACATTGGGTTGCCCGATATTATAAACTGTGAACCTACACAAGCCTAATGGTAATAAAAGTGAGTGACGACCCGTGCCCACCCTTCCCCTACTCCTTCGCCCTTTCTTACCCTTCTCTACCTCTATCCTGCCGGTTCCATCGACCCACTCGGAAATCGGACTGAACCGGTGATCGAGCTCACGGGCGAGTCCGGTAATTAATGGGCAGTTCCTGATTTTCATTTTGTGAAATGGGTCCTTGGGTGGGAACCGCCCCGGAAACCTATCACTCCCGATGCACCGTCCGTCACGTATCTAAGAAAAACGTTCGAAAGCTAGAACCCACGAGCACATAAATCAATTCTCGACGAAATCTCAACCCAACTTTTGCCTCCAAAACCATTTGCTCGTTTTCCGTTCGCCGGCCGGCGAGAAGAAACCCGATTTCTCACAGAGCGGGACTCGCTCAACTCGCTCGCCCCGGGTCGTTCGTAGCTTCTCTTCGCGCGCCGAACGATCTCACCTCGCCTCGCCTCTCGACCGGTCGCGATGGAGAAGGCAGCGGCGGAGGAAGGAGAAGAGCGACGGTTGCTATGGCGATCGAGCTCCGAATCCATGGCCTCCCTCGCCCTCGGCAGAGTTCTGACCTCCCTGCTCTCCGCCCGCCCCAGGAAGCTCCGGGACGCCGCCTCCCGCTTCTCTCCCGAGCTCCGATCGCCTCCGGCCGGTGCGGCGCGGGGTCTCTCTGTCCGCCAGTTGCGCTGGTCGCGGCGCCGCTTGCGAGTGTTTTGGTGCCGCTGTTTTGTTCCGTGCTCATCTCTGTTTTGATGCGTACAGGTTCTCTGGACGAGTCGCTGTTGTTTCTGCACCAGTACGTTAAGGACGCGGCCGAGAGGAAGGAGCGGTTGGACCAGGTTCTCGTTCCGATGTTCGAACACGTACGTGTTCTTGCCTGGACTGTTGGTTTGCTCGAGCGAATCAATTCCCGTTAGGCTGTTTTGGTTCGAATTTATTCTCTGCGGTGCGGTTTTTTTGTGCTGGAGAATACTTGCTCGTGCTGTTTGGGGAAAAACCTATTGTCCTTCCTGATCGACCGAGTTTAGTGTGTTTGCATGCTGTGAAGCACTTCTCACTTTCAGGGCTTTTCGTTGCTCGGGATCTCTATTCAAGAAGGATGTTGGTTTCGGGCAAATGGGTTGCTGTCTTCAGCTAATTCTGTTGCCTAGCAATCTGTTTCATTTGATTCTTTTATCTGCACACCTGGACAGTTCTAATCAGTGTGTGGATGTTATTGGATATTTAAGGAGTTCCTGCCTATTGGATTGGATGATGCAAGCAACTTTTTTCATAAACTTTGATGTGATTTCACCCCTTCCTGTGTTTGAGATGCACAGGAGAGAATTACTTACTAATTCAAGCTTCATCAGGAAAGTGCCTTTAAAATACTGTGTTTGACGAGGGATGCATGGGTTCTTGAGAAGAAAGGAGCTGTAGTGGTCCACCTGGATGCCATGAGTTAATAGAAAGCTGGATCTATTTACCTAGAGAACTACATAGATTGTTACAAGTGGACTGAAGGAGTGTGTTAAACCTTTCTCTATATAGGAACAAGATGTCATTTTATTTCTCTGGAGTAATAGATGTGTTATGAGTGAATCGGCTAATGCTCAATATGCATGCACGGATATAGGTCATGTGTCATCTTGGTGATTTTTTAGTTTGTCTTTTAATAATTTCTTCTTTTTCTATCATTGGCTCTTTTTTTTATGAGGTAAGCATTTTACTTCATTTTTTAGTTTTAACTTATTTATTCTTTGTTCTTGCTTCTTACATTCTGTGAGCTTTGTTGTCAGTAAAATCGGTTACTTTTCTACTTAACTGCTGTCATATCTTTCACTGTTACATGCGAAGCACTTGTTTTTGCAGTCACTGAGGAGCAAAGAATCAAGACACTCTGGCCAAATCTTGATACTTCTCGACTGGCTCGTTCAAGATGAGTTCCTTTTCCAATATTTCATGGAGAATCTCGCTGACATTATCTCTAGAAAAGAAGATCGTTATATATCACTGGGCTGGTGTACCCTAGTACGAGGTCTTTTGGAATTTGAGAGTGCAATCAGCCAATATTCACTGGATGGTAAGGTTACGACATGCCCATTCATGTTAAGACGAAGCACTTGCACATACCAAATCATTTTCAATATCCTTGTTTTGTTTGTGTGCATCTGCCTAATTTTTTCATCCATCAAAATGCATTATTGTGATTGGAATTGCACTCTTATTCCATTTCGTGTAGTTTTTGATACACTTAGAAGAGGATGTAAAAGTCTAATAATCTGAATCTTTGGCAAATTTATTTCTTTTGAATTCGGTAAGTTGCTTTAAGGATCCATTTCATGCAAAAAGGTTTCCTTTGGCATTTCACATTGATCTATGCTTCATCAACGAAAATTTCTTTTGTTGAGATGTTACTGTTAACGTTATTGTTGATGGTGGAACTCCCTTTTCAACTTCCGATGGCAGGATTAAGGAGGAAGTATTATGTGATTCTGGTGATGCTCTGTCCATGTATTTCGCATCTTTCTTCTATAATGCGCAAAGGAAGGTATGTGTCTCTTCACTTCTGAATTCCGTGACCTGCACCAACGACTCAATGCTCGCTCTGTAAATCTTAGTAATGTAAAACCTACTTTGCCTGTGAAGTATTGATTTGTTCGTTTCTTTCAACTATTTTGGTTTTCCAATACCAAGTTGATGTATTGGCAGGCCATTTTTAGGTTGCTTTTCCCTCCATATCTCTTGTAGTGGGAAATGGGTGCGGGTTTGTTTTTTCTAGTGCCTTGAAAAATCCAAGAATCAGTGCTTTCTGCATTGAATACATTCTCTCTTTTCTTCATTCTATCACAAAAATCAAAGGTCTATTCTGTTGGAATTTGTGAGAATCCTTTGTGAATGTGCTGATGAATATACATGTCTATTGTTTCCTGTTCATATTTGTTGCCAAACTTTTGTCGGTGCACCTAAAGTTCAGTTAAGTGGGACATGCAGGAATTCCTCAAATGGATACCAAGGAATCGTCCCATCTAAATATGGATATTGGTTTGCTTGTTGATTTACATAGGCAGAAGGTCGTGGGGGAGTGGAGGGGGGAGGAACAAGAGTTCTAAATTCAAAATCCAAAACTTGCAAAATTTTCCATGGGGGAAAGAAATGGTTTCAGATTTGCCACACTACTTCTTGGTAGAAAAAGTGTAAGAAATTTAGAAGATGTCCCCCTTTCAGAGTTAGAAACAATTATTTCCATTAATTCCTTCGGTGTTACTTCTAATTTTTTGAGTTTTTGGTGTCAAAACTTGATTAAGTAGAAGTTTCTTTCTGAGCCAGCTCACTAAAATTCTTTCATGATATGTAATGCTGGATTAGGGAAAAATTAATGTTTGTCGACTGGTGATATCCCACCAGAAATTTTGAGAAAGCAAGAATGGAAAAGGAAATTCCAATAAAAAGTACCCAAGCCAAAATCTTTTATTTGCTATCGGATTGCAATTGTTAAAGTCCTTTCCCTTTGGAACCCTCTTATCCATGCTAATGAACAAATTGAGTCTTTAAAAATTGTGGATTGTTTATACTGATAGTTAAAGGGACAACTCTCTTTTTACACCTCTGGTTAAAAAACCTGCCAAAAAAAATCTTTCACTCTTGTTATCTGTGCTTGTTCCTCTGAAATTGGCTTTTTACCATCTCCTTCTTGAAAGTTATTTGTTTGCTCATGCAAAAGAATGACAAATATATGTGCTTGAGGACAGGTAGGCATGTATAGCGTTTGTGTTGCATAGAGTTATGAGATGCAAGACAATAAAATTAGGAACTTTTTCTTAAGTTGGTAGCACTGGTCTTGCCTAGTGGACTTGCTCATTACATTACAAGGTAACAATGTCACAAGTATGTGGGAGGACCATCCAGTGACAAATGCGTTCCCTAGATCCTAGTATGAAATTTGCTTCAAATAATATGCTTTTGCAGCTTGGAGATTAGTTTGGTAAGTTGTCCAAATATTGTAGGATCTGAAGAGAGACGGAGAGAAAAATACTAAAAGACTACATCTTGTCATTAACTTAATAGAAAGTGTGCATAAGATGGCTAATTACCTTTTCTGTCACCTACTTACTATTGACT